GAGGAACTGTTGATAGGTCGCAAAAGTGAGTTGGGACATGATGTGTGAAAATAGTTTTTATAGACCAAAAATAAGTTTGATCTCTTTAAATATTATGGTCACAGAATGCGACAGGGTTAAATCGAAAATCGAACTGATCTGTTTTACGGAAAATAGAAACTTTTATTTCTTAAAATAAGTCCATTTTCTGGTTGTTTGTCAAATTGTACATCAGCAAAATGCATTTCATGAAAAAATGAGCTTCCATTATTGTACAAAATGGATTCGAAGTTTAAACTTTGGACTCGATTTTATCGATAACTGTCCATCTGAGAAGCTTTTGAATAGCACTACAGGATTCAGTTTTTATTTCTCTACAAACTAACAGAGTCTAAATCGAAAGAAATCCATTTTCACCCGTTTTTGGCCATTTGTCTTGAAGTAGTTGTATCAATTTGTGTCAAGTTGTGCATAAATGTGTTATTTGTGTCTTTTTAGTAGCAACCCAACAACAATTGTCAATCTGATTATGACCGCATTCAGATACTCATTGTAAAAGTTTATTTGAATGCAAATGAAAACATTGGGATTTGAAATAAAATCTTTATTGATGTCGGATATTAGTTTATCATTCACGATCACTATCAATATGATTCTGACGGACAACACATTAAATTTAGTTTATTTCGGTAGTCAAAATGTGAGAGTATATTCGAATAAAGTCAACATTTAAGCGATCAAATTCAAAGCTGGAATTTTAATCTCGATGGCAATGTAAATAAGTCTTATATCTAAAAGTTAATGATCCATCCGTAATGAGAACGAAAAATATATAATTTAATATGCATTTAAAGTAAAGCCTTAATTTCATCATATAACACTAATACGAAAGCTCCGCCAGTTCCTCTTAATACATTGGAGAAGGCACCTTTAAAGTAAGCCCTTGGTCCTTCGGATCTGTAAATCTTGCCCCAACAATCTGCTGTACTTTTGTACATTCGTTCTGCAGGAGGTAACCCACTTTGCATCATGATACGTCGTCGTACAGTATCAAATGGATATGAAATAATCCCAGCTACAGTTGTCACAGCTTCAGCAATAAGCCATGAGATGATAATTGGTGTCTTCTTGGGATCTGGTAACATACCCTTGGCAGTGTCATAGATACCGAAATAAGCGCCTCTAAGATGGAAATGATAAAGATTCGGATTAGCATTACAATGTCTAATTTAGTGCGGAAAGACGAAGTGGACTGAGATTCACTGTATTTTTGTGGCTCGATCAAATATTGCAATTAAAATAAACTTACCGGTAGATGATAATACCTTGAACAGAGCAAACAAAACCTCTGTAAAGACCAGTGACACCATCAGATTTTAGAGTCTTGCCAATACAATCTACTAATCCATTGTATTGTCTCTGAGCACCGGGCTTAGTGACATCAGCAGCTAGTCGAGTACGAGCAAAATCCAGTGGAAATACAAAACAAGTTGATGATGCACCAGCAGCTCCACCAGCAGCTAACACTCCAGCGAAATATCTCCAAAATTGCTGGTTTTTATCCACACCTCCGAGGAAAATTTGCTTATATTTGTCATTAAAAGCGAAATTTAAAGCTTGGGTCGGAAAATAACGAACAACATTAGCCCAATTTCCTCTCCAGAAACTAAGGAAACCTTGTTCTTTTGGAATCCGAACAGCAGCATCGATAATTCCTATTGTAAAAAATCAAAAAAACATATGAAAAAGGTAACATAAAGAAACGAATTTGTTAAGGATTTTCTGAATGTATTTCCTTGTGTTGTTATCAGATATTGTACACCAAGGCGAAGTCACCTCTGATTTTACTATAGATTGTAAATCTCTAGCAAGAACTCTATTTACAGAGTATTTAATATCATCAATGGGCTGATAATAATAGTCAACTAGACTAAAGAGTAAAGGTCAGTACTCTTGATTACTTACCCTTGTATCGTTGAGCTTCGGCAATTTGTTTAGAAGCATGTTGAACTTGTAATAGAAGCTTGATTCTCTCAATTGGAGCTACAGCGGTTTTGGAAATGGCTGCAGAAATACCACCGGCCATAAAATCTTTAGCAAACGATACCATATCGATAGGCATTTTGACTAATTTTTATTGAGAGGACCTAAATCACTCGGAGAAGTAGATTATAAGCAAAAAGGGTAAATTAGTTAAATAATTGTCTGCACAACAAAACTCAAACTAATGATTTCAATGAAAGAAACCCAATTAAAGTTGTTACAGGAAAAACCATGGAATTTAATGTTATTAAAGAATCATCTCATCTAAATGATAATAGAGATTCGATAAAAATCAGTAGTTCGTGTTTTATGTTTGTATTTATCATTTTAACCTTTATTGGTAATCTTAATATCATTTAGGCCAGATAAATATTTCACTTGCTTCCGTCAATTGTTAATTTTCGTTCAACATTCTTTATGAAGTCACTATTGTCACTTACATGTAATGCCCTTAAAACTTAACTATTGTTATGCTATTAAAATTTTATAAAGCGCATACTGAAGCGATTGATGATTACATTCCATTTTTTATCATAACAGTTTATTTGAATAACAAAGTAAATAACAAATGTCAATGTTGAAGTAAAATTTTTATTGGTGTTTTATACTTTGTTTCGTGTCATGTTACAATTTTGAATTATTTTTCGATTCCGTAATCGAGAAACATTGAAATTAAGGTTAGTTTATTTTTAATTCTGTTCTGGAATTGGTGAATCTTTAATCAAAAAACGAGGATTGCTATTGCTAGATTTAAAGATTAACTTTACTTTGGTAATTATTTATTCAATTTGGCTAAGCATTGTTCTTGAGGGGATTTCTATCAATAAATTATATTACTTGACTGGCAACTCATGAAATTAATTCATTTCACCATTCAAATGTGAGAGTATTTCCGAATAAAGTCAACATTTAAGCGATTAAATAGCAAGCTGGA